GGTTTCCAATCCTCCGTGTTAATAGGAGCATCTGGGAGGGAGGGAGGAGGAGAGGACATACCAAGTTAGGTGATCATAGACAGTTGTTTAGGTGGAGTATCTTGGAAAATTCTCAACCTCTGTTAGAGCACAGCTGGACCTGATCTGTCCTGATTTCTAGCATCAGGCTGCTCTCAGATTAGACTGGCCTTGCCAGAAGTGCCTCTAGGCCTACAAGCACTTCTTGGCTTCCTTGCTCCCTGGTTGCCTGAGGAGAGACAATAAGGTTCCTGTTGGCTAGGTGGATGTCAGTTCTCCAAGGTTGTCCAGCTCAGGAAATAGCCTCCATAAGAAGATTAGAACTAAGTTTTATTGAGATAGGCTATATGAAAAGACTCTTGCAAGTCTGCCTGTGTTTTTCCTCCCTTCCCTCTTATACCCTAGTGAGTCAGGGAGGAGGCGGCCTGAGCCTCTTACTAACACTGCCTCCTCTCCTGGGGATTCTGCTCTTTTTATTTTGTAACAGCTTCTGAATATTTCCCTCAAGGCTGTCTCTGTGGCTCCGTACAGTGGATAAGACTCTGGCAAAAAGTGCGGATCACAAAACCCAGGAGAGATGGATTCTGATACCTGTCCATCACTGTTTCTGGGGCCACCTCATTCATTTCCTTGTCTTGGTCCTCTTCCATCTTTAAGGAGGACTTTTCAGCCAGGACACAACAATACTTGGGGAACTTTAGATCAAAGATGGGCAGGTTGGGCCCTATAGGCTACCTATATCCTCTAAACCCCTTCAGTGCCCTTTGAACGCCAGGAGATGTCCTTTAAATAATGTGCAAAACTCATTTTATGTTTAACACATAACTTCCCTCCCGCAGCCTAGTTGAGTGACATCACTGTTTCATCACTTCGCCCCACCAACACTTAAAAAAAATGTATAAATATTTTCATCTTCTATTTTAGATAGTAAGGAGGTTGCCCCACTGAAAGTCAGATCTTGTTTATACAGTTTGAGAAATAGTCTTCCATTATTGAAATAATCTGCTTTCCCACAGATTGGGCTTCCAGTCTCGAAGCTCAGACACACAGAGACAGAAGATCAAGGACATATCCTTCCAATTAGATAAGATTAAATTTGTACCCCATATACCTTGTACAATATTTATTGCTCATTAATTGATAACTGAGAACTTTAAGTGCACTGTTGACCTTCAGTAATAGAGTTGTAGAAGACTTCATTCTCTGTATAACCTCTTTTATCTTGCGTGATGAGCTTTAATTCAATTCTTTTCCTGTAGCTATCACCTAAGCATGCTGGAAATTTTCTGTAGCTATTGTCTAACCAAGATTTCATTATGAATTCTTCATGTAACCCTTCCCAGTGGAGAATCCTCCTGATATCTTGGAACAGAAGTTCTCAAAGCCACTTTCTTCCCACTGCATCACTCACCGCTATATTTTCCCCATTCTCTTGTTTTTCGTCAATTGAAATCAGTGGTGCAGTACACAAGAGTGTGAGGAGAAGCCTCAAATGCTGGAATAACACTTTGGCTTACATTTCAACCGATTAGTGCCTCAAATGAAACATACTGAACCAGAGACTTAGCAAGGTAACGGGCTTTGCACAAACAAACTTAGCAGCTTCGTCTACACAAGGTGCAGAAATTGATTGGCTTTCTCCTTTGCTAGGACTCTTGTTTAGATGTGGCTGTTGTTTTAGTATGTTGTATAAACCAGCCTCTTTGAATAGTCCATGATTAAATGCATTGGGCCAAGCCTGCAAATGATTTAATTGAGCAGCCAGGTAAAGTGTGCTGAGTTCCTGCAATACTTTCCTGACTTAATCATACTTCTTCATCTGCTTCAGTTTTTTTTTGGGGGGGGGATTATTCTCAGTGTGCTTGAGAATTTCTTTTAGATTCCTTGGGGTAGAATTTCGAGTTTGCTTTCTTGTTGGAGGTGGGGGAGGACACATTGTGCAGTGAAAGACAGGACATTTGCACATATCCCTTTGACCTCTTGTAACTAAACCAGAAGAGGAACACAACATTCCACCCAGAAGGATTTCTCCAAAAGCTTTCTCTCCTTTGAAGGACACATTGAAAGCTTTCTTTTCTCTGAAATTCTTTTTTCTTTTGAGGGAAAATTCT